ATCGCACGGCACGTCACTCCATTTGCAAATGAATTGTACAATGATAATCCAAATGATTTAAAAGCCATTTCAATTGTAGATGGAACGTATAGTTATACCGAAAAATCAGGAATCTACCAAACCTTAAGACAAAGTTACTCGGTACACAAGGGACGTCATTTAGTAAAGCCTGTTATGGTCACTGCACCTGACGGTTACATTCTCGATATTCAAGGACCGTATTTTGCAGATGGTAGAAACAATGATGCCTCGATATTAATTGATCAGTTTCAAAATGATGTCAGTAACATTAATGAGTGGTTTCAAGATGGAGACATTTTTATTGTGGATCGAGGTTATCGGGATGCAGTCGAGTTCTTGCAGAATCAACGATACAACGTCCACATGCCACCTATTACTGAAGGCAATCGTCAACTCCCCACTGAAATGATTAATCGCGCCCGCATGGTGACCATGCCACGATGGGTAGTTGAAGCCCGAAACGGTCATGTAAAATCCATTTACAAGTTTCTAGACGGACTTATTCCAAGAGCTCATGTTTTACATTTAAGAGATTTTTACTTAATTGCTGGAGGGTTGATAAATAAATATCGAATACCGCTTCTAATGATAGATAAGACTGTTGCCCTAGCAAGAGAGATTAAAACTCGATTAAATGATGTAAACGTAGTTTAAGCGTTAATTGAGGAGCATAATCTTGCTAGAAGAATTACCATGTAGGAACGTTTAAATCAGGAACACGTTCCTGAATTTCCTCGATTGGATTTACAATATTTACGCCGATTGACCCTCGGTCCATATCAACTCGAATTAGCTCCATCGTATGTGTAAGACAAATTCGAACATGAAAGTTCTGATGTCTTCGAACTTGATCTAAATAGATAGAGATGTACCAGGCTTCTTAAGAATTAGAATCTACTCTCGGTTTAGAAATGCTACTCGCTATAAATTATGGATAACTTTTCGAGTAGACATTGAAGATAATCGAATGGTAGATGAAGATGAAGGTGATGTTATACTAGAATATTATTATACCTGTAGGGCTGGGGCAAGAACTTTAGGTTGCTGTGCACATATTGCAAGTATTCCATGGTTTCTTGGGTGGGCTCGATATGAACAGAACATACAATATCCTAGTACGACGCTTCTTAGATACATTCTAGATGCCGGCTACAGAAATAATGATGATGGTGCACATTAAGACAAATTAATAATCGATGGTGAAGAATAGAGATTTGTAAAAGATTATAAAAGCTTAAAAATATCAGTACCTATAAATATTAAAAAGACAACAAAAGTAACGGTAGAATAGACAGATTCGACAAATACAAGACTTAATAACTATAATGACTGACAGACTGACGATGATCAAGGAGTTTAAGTCCGACTTTGCAGCCTCCACGTGGTAAACTCTGAGTAATGCTAATGCAAACGGCAAGAGTCCCTCCTTTTATTTTGACTAATACGGATTTTGATTATTTTGTTTTATTTTTGCTTCCATTTTACCTGTATGTAGAATGATTTTACAAATATACTTAATTGCGGATTCAATCACTATAAAAATAGGTACAAATGTACCAAGGTTTAAGGAGGGGTTAAACGTACCCCGGATTCGGATTTGGCGACCCAAAAAACATGTATATGTACTTTTTCACTTCGTTTAAAATGAATTTTATGGATTTGATCTTTACCTGACCTTGAACCTGACCTGATCGAGTGAAATGGACCCGGATTCTGATTCATCGACCTCAAAAACATATAGAAACGGTCCCTAGCCCAAGATTAATGCGATAACCTTGATTTGACCTTGATTTGACCTTGACCCCGAGGTAATCTTGGAGCCCATTGAGTTGTATGGTTCGGGCCCATTAAAGTATTTATTTGAGACATGTTAAACCGAAAATCGAGTCATATTAATGGAAACCACAGTACTGAGTAGAACAAAAAGTGTATAGCACTGGTACCCCGTTATACTGACTTCAGCGGGCCCTAACTTGAGACCTATTGAGATTTGAGCTTTATGCCCATTAAGACATTTGTTCAGGACGCTAAAATGAATAACATATCAAAAATGCAGCCAAATTAACCGAAACCACTTTTTCTATAGGCGTCTCTCGGGGTTTGACTGAAACTGAAAAAAAGTGTTGCAAAACTACGAAGTAAGAGGCTGAGAGAAGATAAAGTAATGTAAAAGAACAACACTGTAAAAAGATCAAGAATCGAAGAAAATGATACTAGACGGCAGCACCAGCGAGAGAATAGCTCATTACGAAGTTCATGCGCAACAACTTTATTAATTAACACGTTTTAATAATAATGATGAAGTTTGTATTTCAATTCAACATCAGGATTTATCCATACTTTCATCTCGCATTATTCATATTTGTGGCAGATTAACTAAGAAAAATAGGAATGTAACATTTAAAAATAAGATGGTCAATAATATATCATCTGTTCGAGAAGATACGATATGAGATAAATATTATTGAAATAGATAAAGCAAAAATATCGGCTTAACGAGTCTTATAAAGAACTGGTTATCACTCAATCGAAGTCAAAGTTTATTCGGCAAAAATGCTAGTTGGACTAGTCACAAAGTAGAACGCTTACAAATGATGAAGGTTATTTCGATCTTACTATATCCTTTATTTTGCTGCTAGGACTTACTGAGGAATATCGAAAAATCGTGGTAAATATCAAACATTACTTATCATTACAATATCGAGAAATGATTTGACTGCTATCATAACTACACCTGCTAATTAGTTACGAAAATTCAAAATTACTTTGAATAAAATTGAATGGTTAATGCCATATGTATTAGCAGCCGCTAGAGAAAAAAATCAAATTACAATTAATCAAATTAGTCGTGATAGAGCAATCGCCATAAGTTATTACACTTGGAATTTATATAAAAAACTTTTAATATATTTTTCTCATAAACCCTATTTTTTTATCTAAAAATAATAGTGATGGTAGTATATTGGTCATACTTTAACTTTCTATTGTCGGTTATGTGCATTTATTATTTTAGAAGCAGAAAAAAATGAAATTAAAAAAAAAATTTTTCATTACTAGTCTTGATATCAATCACTATTTATTACTCTTTTTCATATTTTTCCGTCGTTTTGCAGGCTTTTTAGAGAATTTTCTATCAGTTGATGTAACCTCAAAATGGATAATTTTTAGCATATGTTCATTATATGATTTCACCAATAACGAATTAGATACATGAAAACACTATTTTTTTGTTTATATTTATTTATAACAATAGTAATTATGTATAAATTCGTAAAAATTTCGAAAGTTTCAAAAGTTTAGTACCGAAAAACGTAAGAACTTCTTCATTTATCGTGGACTTCGAAGAATAAATAAAGGAAGAAGAAAATGAAATATGTAGCCACTATAGTAGCTACATACACCCCTACTAATCCCACCCCTTTTAATCCAAAAGCAGTCAAATTTACCTAAATTTAGGAGTAACGTATAAAATAGCTTTTATTATAAAATAATTACATCCCACAACAATGAATTCGGATTCTTTATTATATTATATAAGCATATGATTTGTAGGGTTTTTGAAAACTATAAAACTTTATAATACGATATCTCAGCAAAAAAAAATGATCTGAACGAACTTAACACGATTTGAAAGGTGGAAACCTATACGAGGGGGGTCAACAAGTCTTTACATAATCCAAGAGATGGCGCTCATCACGCTTAAATTATGATGTTTTTGGCAAGCAATACTACTAACTAGATATCGTACAAAGTTTCAGCTCGATTCATTAAGCCGTTTTTTTGTGAGCGTTGGTTGAACAAAAAGTTATTGGTTTATAAAAAAAATGGGAAAAACAGAGAAAGGCCTTATACCAAAAGAAATCACAGTTGAGTTGAACGCCGTTTATAGTACGTCTGCCCCTGTGTTTAAGACTGTTTATAACTGGGTAAATGAATTTAAACGCGGCCGTATAACAACAAAAGATGAACCTTGTTCAGGACGTCCCGTAGAAGTGTGTACGGCCGAAATGGTCAACAAAATCCACGATATGGTGTTGAGTGATAAAAGATTAAAATTGCGAGAATTTGTTGAGGCTACAGGGATATCAAAGGTTACAATCATTTCAATTTTTCGTGAAAAATTGGTGATGAAAAAATATCAGCAAGATGGGTGCCGCGTTTGCTCACTGTTGAAAACAAACGAACCCGCGTGGTCACCTCTGAGGCTCTTTTGGCACGCATACATCGTAATCCGGAAGACTTTTCGCGTCGACTCGTAACTGTAGACGAAACATGGGTTACACCACTACACTCCTGAAACCAAAGAACAGTCCAAGCAATGGATTACCGCAGGAGAACCAGTCCCAAAGAAGGCAAAGACAGTAAGGTCAGCTGGCAAGATTATGGTCACGGTTTTCTGGGACGCGTATGGAATCATTTACATCGACTACTTGGAAAAGGGCCAGACGATCACTGGACAATATTATGCGTCATTATTGGGTTAGCTGAAAGAAAAAATTAGAGAACAACGTTCTCACTTGAAGAAAGAAAAATGCCTCTTTCTTCAAGACAATGCTCGAGTTCACACGTGTGCAGTTTTGATGGCAAAAATTAACGATTTAAAGTTCGAGTGAATTGACCATCCACTATATTCGCCTGATTTGGCTCCGAGTAACTTTTTCTTATTTCCAAACCTCAGAAAATGGCTTGCCGGACAACGATTCACGTCGAATGAAGAAGTCATCGCCGAAACAAATGCCTATTTTAAGGGTTTTCAGAAATCATATTTTTCTGATGGCTTAGAAAAATTGGAGGGCCGTTTAATAAAATGTATCGACCTTCAAGGAGATTATGTTGAAAAATAAAAAAAAAAATTACATACGCAAAACTTTTTTTTTCTTCTTTTTGATTGAACTGAATTTATTTTTCAATGTTTTCTAAGCTTATCATAAGAAAATAAATCAAATATGTTTTAGTAAAAATACTTGTTTCAAAATTATATTGGATAGAAACAATTGTAAAGCATATTATGGTTAACTTATATTTATAATAGAATCATCATATTTTTGTTTTATAAAGTTTGATCATCTTAACAATACACATACAGTAATTAATATTATTCTATCCTTCAAGTATTTATGTAAAATTATATTTTATATCTTCCTTGGCATCTGCGAGATAACAAAACGCTGATGACAAATCGCAATGCAAGACTTTGGCTCCAAAAATAAACTTTGTGAACTTTTTATTAGAAATCAATACTATTATATATTTTACGCGCTATCTGAAATTACTTGTGAATTCTTTTCTTCTTCATTATAACCAGTATCTAACTTCCTCAGAAATTTCAGAACTTTTTCTGTAGCAGCAATTCCACAGTTACTTATTTCATTCTGAAAAACAATCCATTTTGTACAATTACAAGTAACTACATAACATACTTTACGATAATTAGCTAAATACTCACAGATGCAGTGAGATTCATAAAATTGAAAAATTTTTGAAGTACGGCAATCATCCTTGAAAAAGTCCCATCAGGTAAACTTCGTCTTACAAGATCTTCATATTTCTAAAACAATAATTGTATAATATTATTTTAATCTTGTTTTTACATCTTCCCATTAAGAAAAAATGTTCTAATTGATAACAATAGAAAAGGATTAAGCATTGTTTGAAATATCTTAAGGTAAAAAATCAGAAAAGAATCAAGAAAGTCATGGGATGATTTCATTTCAAGAAGTATAATAATTTTTTACAATATGAATAGCTTATATAATAATAATTAGTTACAAAAAATAAAATAATATATGGTAAATTGAATCTTTTTTGTCAAGATTATTAGAAAAACATTATTACTACCCTGAAATGAACAAGTTATGAATGATTTGTCTGAATTATCTGTTTATCGCGGAGAATGTTGCTTCATCGTATCCTAAATGACACTTTTTTAAATAAATTACAATTTTCTTCTTCGAAAGAAAATACCGTTCAGAAGAAAATGTTACAAGAGCTTTTAATATGAGTTACATCTGTCTCCGTCTATCTCTATCTCTCTCAGTTTCTCTATCTATAACACTATCTATATCTCTCTTTATATTTCGAAGTTTTGTGTACTCCATGGCCTATTTTAAACACTTTTTTAATAAAGTGCTTTGTTTCTATGAAAATATATTCCAAAATCTTATAATCAATTAAACTTTGATTACTGAGAAAGTTTTCGTCGGAAATAAAGCAATTCACACAAAAATTACTAGGAATAGAAAGCGTTTAAAATTCGGTCAAGGAGTGTATTACAATTTACTGAAAATTGACAATATTCAAAATCAAAAAAGTTGATCATGATTGCTCGAAGAAACTCAAGTATATTTTTCTACCAAATCTAAAAAATATTTCTTTCAAGAAATTTTTTGGTAAAATGCTTGTTTGCCGAGAAAGAAACTCATGAATGTTTTCGCAAAAATGTTGCACTTTCGAGCGTCATTTTCCAATGTCTCATTGATCAAATTGATTTCAACATCCCACATCCTTTAGATTAAAACATCGCGTCTTCGATCTAGATCAGTTCAAAATTGATTCCAAACCAGTAACTTTTTGAAAACTCGATTAGAAAAAAATTTCTCGTTAATAGTGAAATTTTTCTTTTAACCCTTTAGCTGACCGCAAAGTTCAGCTGCGGTGCAGAGAAATGAAATTTTCTTTAAAGAATACCGACCGTCGGTGAATTCATATCCGGTGTCAGATTTTCAAAATTTAAGATGGCGGATACAATGTCGAATTACAATTTTAAAAATTCATGATTTTGACTAATAAAAAATACTACCATATTCTACGTAGAAAACGAAATCGAAACTCACCCCAGCAATTGTTTAATTAGTCACATAGTTTTCGATTAAAAAATTTCTGAAGTTTCGGAATTTTCGATGCAGGGTTGGGTTATCGTAGCAGGATTATCGTAACCTTCGAATTAACTTCATTATTAGCTTCAGCAATAGTTGCTTACCGACACTTATCACCGCGTGAATGTCGCAGTACGGACTTTGAAGAGTATTTTTGTATTTTTTTTGGTTTTTTGTTCTCAGTTTTATGACTAATTGTGTTCATAAGTTATGAAGAACTTATGCAGAGATCCTGAATCTTTTCCTACCAGTGTAGTTATCAATCAACTGTTTGTTAATTGAAGTCTAAATGATAACAATTGATCCTGACAATCATTTCTTCTGTGACATTTGTAAAAATGCAAAAGTCTATAAAGAAGTTGATTTTTTTGTAAAGTTTATCCGTAACTATATTTACCAAATTATTTATGCTAAGATTTGAAAAGCAAAAGGTTTCGACTATTGAGCAATCTGCCCAGCGTGCAGTGTGCGATGTTCACGTGTGAAAGAGCTTGAATTGGAAAGTAGAACGAGGCCCAAAATTCAATCCTACAATTTATTTAATTACAAACAAAAATTATAGAAAAATACAATTCTAATTAAAAATAAAACAAAAATAATAGTAATAGAAAAAACAATCTTTTCTGGGCGTGTCTTGTCCGGACGAACGCTCTGGGCGAAAGAGATGTTCTTGGGAAGCTGTTAAACCACTGTAAATCGGCATTTTTGTGCGGCATACAGTAGTGAGTATCTCCGGCAGACTCGGACAATCAAAGATCGTTCAGCGATTGCATTTTTGCTCACTGCGGTACCACAGATCATATTTTTTTATTTTGTTTAATGTCGTTCTATTTATGCTCCATCAGTGCTAATCAGTGACGGAAGCTTGCAATGTGTTTGAGAACAAAGCACAAGAAACTTTTTTCAGTGGTGATTGTATCAGTCTGCAGGAACTGAGAATCGAACTCGGACCTATAACGTGCAAGTCTGTCGTCCTATCGACCGAGTCATTGCAGGCCCCTACCACAGATCATGCTCAGCCTGCGATACCGTCGTAGACGTGCTCATGCCTGCAGAAAACGAAAGCAATAAAGAGAATGAGAGCTCACGCTATGCTGGTTGTCTCCAGCTACCACACCTTCTTCTCCGGTGAACTCGAGCGCCAGTGGTGATGAAATGAACGTCGATGGAAGTGCTGCAGATGCCGAGGAAGATTCGGTCTACCAAACCAACAGCCAACAAAAAGCACAATGCAAAGTCGTCCTCCCTACTGCAACCACCGGCGATTTATTGAGCAGAATCCACCAGCTGAACTCTTTTTTTACTCTTTTTTCTCTTCCCTCTCTCCTCGTCATTCGCCACCTTGCCTTCAGTTACGTAGCTCATCCGCTCTAAGCTGATAAGCCGCTAATACGCATTTCAAATCAATAAACCGGGCATTAGTAATGCGCTAATGCAACTACACAGATGCCTGCCTTAACGATAGCGCGCGCAAAAAGCAAGAGGTCAGAGATGAAGAGCAATCGCTACCAAACTGTTTTCTCAGTTATAAGTATGCAGTTGCCATATCTATGTAACAATACAAAATGGAATATCACCATAGTAGGTAAACTAGAGGGGCCTCAGTTGAGAGGGGTATCAGCTCACTGAGCTGATGTCCTCCCTGAGCTGATGTCCGTGCATCTTCAGCTCAGCACTGTCAACCCACCTCACCCCCCTTTACTGAGCTGATGCCCGTGCATTCTATGCACTTTCCCCTCCCCCACCCCTACTAAGCTGATGGGCTCTGACGCCCGGACGTTCTGTGTTACACGCTTTCATTTTATTGTGTGTGTGTGCGCACGTGTGTGTTCAATTTTTAGAAGTAAAACAAGGTAAATGTTATTGAAAAAAAACAGACGAACAGGTCAGGGGATCGAACGCGCGTCCTCTAGATCCGAAAGCCGATGCTCTATCGCTCGAACTACTGCCACGCGTACTACAGGCAGTTCGTATTGTGTATATTAGCTACACGATTGATATTGCCCAGGCGCTAATACATACTGTAACGGAGAATATGCGACCGTTCCCGTCTGGGTAGTTCGCGGCCGTCCGCACAAATTATTTATTTGGGGGTTCGGGAAGCAAAAGACGTTCCCACGACTGAATAACGCGTCGAGCACAAACTCGTTAAATGCACAGATTCGAAGTTGGGATGAGGAGTGATTCACCGGCGAATAAACACAACAGCGGATTAACACACTAATGTGAACATAAATAAATTTGTTAACAATCGATTACAAGACGGCGATCTCGCGCTTAGGTACTACGAGCGGCACAATAATAAACCCAAACACGAAGGTGAATCGGTGGCTGGTCAGCCTGCCGATTCCCTGTCTAATATTACAACAAATGCCCGACAAAACACTTTCCGCCGTTATTTCATCAACAGGGTAGCCAACAGATCTGCCGCGCTACCACGCATCAGCAGGCGCCCAAACATGTAAGAGAGAGAAACGAGAAAATACGGCACCGACCTCGACCTTCAGCCTCTCTGACGGCTAGAACTCTTTGCATTGTAACGTCACTGGTGCGCTCCTTCTCGCTGACCGCTTCGCTGGTGTTTACTGTCGTCTCTGTTTGTTCTCTTGCTCGTTTTCTCCTTCACTCTACCAATACTGCTACCTCAATCCGTTGTTCCGCTCGTTGATTGCTGTTGTTGTTGTTTCCATTGTCCTTCTGTCGTTCGGTACTGTAACAGCGATAAAGTTCGCTCACGCGCGCACTTGCGCACCTAGCCGGTTACCCACACGCACCGGTACCGGGTATCCTTCGGGACACGGCTGGGCGCGACCCAGCCACATACTCCAATACTCGTCCTCGCACCGGGCGTGTCTCCGAAAACGAACGTTGACGAGGTCGCGGGCCAACTTTGGAAAACGGTTGACTTCGGCTTAATCCGTGTAAAGCCTAGTAAATACTTCCCAAATTTTCCGTGATGATACGCAACTCTCTCTCTCTCTCTCTCTCTCTCTCTTCTTCTTCTTCTTCTGCGCCATCTCGATTGCTCCAGCCATCAGCTCAGCCCGTGTACAGCACCTCGTAAACAATAATGAAGCATGAGTGTGTGTGCCACATGCACACACTCAAATCGGCCTAGCCGAGATTCTCCGTTACAATACAAATAATAATGCTATTATATATATTTATTGTAATTAGTATATAATGAATTTCTTTTTTTATTATATACACTAATTATAATAAATATTATATATTATTATAATAAATTTAATAAATATACTAATTATAATAAATACTATATATTTATTATAATTAGTATATGATGAATTATTTTTTGCTGTTCAAAGTGTGTGTATGTGTGTGTGTGTGTGTGTCTCATCTACCGAAATGGTAACATTTTTTTTCATCTAAATTCTCGCACTATATGCAACCTCGAATATTTATCGTGCAAAGGCACACGATCAATTTATAGAGCAAGAAGTATGGTGTATTTGGTACGTGTACTCGTATAATTTAAACGATTACTCGGCTCATTCGGCAGGCATCATTCAGTATAGTCAGAAAGCTTTTGGCTACCAGCGAGGCAAGTTGTCATTTGCTGTTCACATAGACTTACGCGTGTACTTGTAATTTTCCGATCGTCTACAGATATTGTTTATTTTATAATTGCGAATGTGTAATAGTTCAATCCATT